GCATTGCGTACACTTGAAAAATGACTTGAAAAATGTGCTTCAAATCCCACGTAAGATTCTCTGCAGCTTTCTTTTTCTTTTTTCCCCCAGATATCTGTGCAAGTCTGGACAAAAAGCGTGGCTGCTTTAAAGAGTCCATTTATTAAAGCTAATGTGACTCCTAGAGCAGCCATTCCTTTCTTCATGCACACCTGGAAGTCTGAAAAAGGAAAGGTGTTACAAAAAATAACAGAGATGGTGCTTGCATGAGGATTAAAGCACATCTTCTTAATCAGCTTTGAAACTTGCATGGCTCCAACATTCCATTTGCTCTGGAAACTTCGTTAGATACACTTTGTTGGTCTATGTTAGATTGTTATTACCAAATCTGTAGTTTCCTGGAGACTATTCTTTTTTGAGGATAGGTACATTTGTCCTCTTCAATTATTTGGCAAATTCTGTACCATATTTATGTAGTTTGGATCAGACTGTTAGTACGTATCCAGGATACAATTTATCTGAGGCTAATGCTTTAACTTGGGAAAGCCTTACGTTTTTCATATTGCAGGGATCAAGTCAAGTAGAGTTGATTTCCTGCATATTACTCTACTCCCTGAAGGAGAAAGTGATCGTCAGCAAAGTAAGTCACAAGTTTCTCACAGACTAGAGAGACTATGTGTGGTAGAATATTTTCCTCCTGATCCTGTCATAATTAATCCTTTACATAATTAATCCTTTATTTCATACCTCCTAGAAAGGTCTGCATTTTTAAAGAAAACAACACTATTTTTCCTCTTTGACAACGTATTTATTTTTATCATAATTATCATGTTCATTTTTCCCTCTTATTATTTTAAAAGAAATAATAAATAAGTCATATTTCTCTTCATATATGTTATGAGTTCAAGCTCATTTGAACTCTTATAATGCTCATAGTCTAAGCATTAATAAATAAGCAACAATAGCTATAATCTTCATAAGCAAATGTTCTTCCTGTTTATTATTTTAAAAATCTAACTGTGGTCAATCCTTCACTTCCTTCTTGCAAATTTTTATCTGAACTTCTCAGGTCTGAGTTTCCATTTCCAACCCTACCAGAGTTTTGTTTAAAGCTCATCAGCCTCATGTTTCAATATAATCAGTTGAAACATTTCCAATTTTTTTTTATCACGCAGCCCATCTTATGTCATTTTCTTTTATCCAGAAAATATAGCCTTGAATCATAGAATCATAGGGCTGGAAGGGACTTTAGAGGTCTAGTCCTAGCCCCACCCACCATGACAGGAGACCTTGTATAAACATAGACAAATGGTTGTCCAATGTTTTCTTGAAAATCTCTAGCGATGGTGCACCTACAACTCCAGGAGGCAAGCTATTCCATTGGTTAATTGTTCTCAGTGTCAGGAGGTTTCTCCTTAGTTCTAGGTTGCTTTTCTTTTTAATGAGATTCCACCCATTGCTTCTTGCCCTACCCCCAGGAGCTTTGGAGAATAAGTTGATCCCCACCTCTGTGTAGCAGCTCCTCATATACCAAAGATAGCTATCATGTTACCTTAATTCTTCTCTTCATTAGGCTAGACATACATAGTTCCCTTAACTATTCCTCGTATGATTTATCCTGCAGACCCCTTGTATCAGCATCTTTTTTGTATTGCGGTGACCAGAATTGGATACAGTATTCCAAGTGTGGCCTCACTATATAAAATACAAAGTATAAGGCAGTACTATAACTTCTCGTAATATTGATGCTATTCCTCTGCTGATACAGCCTAGGGACCAAATCTCTTAATTGATACTTTTTCATTTGGTTATTCTTCCTTCCTTTTCCAGTCCCCTTCCATGGCACAATACTCCAATCACTATCTTAAGTGCTTTCTTAAGTTCTAAATCTTCTTCCAGTCAGCTAAATCAGCTATATCTCTCAACTTAGTGTTTTCAGAAAGAGAGAAAAGCATTTCTCTCTTCGTTTTCTCCATGCCATGCATGATTTTACTACATCTGGATCATGTGTACAATGTTCCTTCAGTTAATTTTTCTCCAAGCTAAAATGCCCCAAATCTTCTAGACTTTTTTCATACGGATGGTGCTTGAGACATATAATTACAATTATGCCTTACTCCTGGGAATTGCCATTTTACAGCTGCCAAACACTGAGTTGTCATCTTTGTTGAGCTCTCAACACTATAGTACATCTCTGAGATCTTTTTCCTGGTTGGTTGAAGACAGTTCAGACACCATCAGTCTATATATGACTTTCTTTTGATGGTGTGGTGGGGGTGGAGGAATCCCATTATGCATCACATTAAATTGCTTTGCATTTGCCATTTGGGTGACCATTCACTTTTCAGAAGCCTTCAGATCACTCTATCACCCTGAATAGTCGCACCCAGAAATATGGCCAGTTCCCAATTTACCCTCAAATCAAGATCATTTTCCAAATTATAATCCTCTGATTCCAGCATTGATTCTTGAGACTCCAGTGAGATAATTGTCCATATATTCCTGTTATTGATTTTCTGGTCTTTATTGAGTTAGCAGTCCATACAATGGTTGGTCTTTTTTATTCTAGAACTGCTTAATTTACTCAAGAGCTGTTTTTTTCCCCAAAGGCTTTTGGAAAATCCAAGTATACAATGATAAGAGGTCATCTTTATGGCTGGATCTACTAATGCTCTTAAAAAATATAGTAGTTTAATAAGGGAAGATTTAAATGTTGAGGATCTCTGCTTATTCCTTCAGTTAGGCTTGATCCTATTGCTTAGTTTATCATTTATATCCATGGAATAGATGTTGGACTTTTTCAAGTTTTTCCAAATCTTTTTCTCCTTTAAAAATATATTCCTGCCTCTGGCACAGAACAAAAATTAAAGAAAAAAATACTTTTGGTAGATAGTGAGCAATTTTACATTCTGTAGAAGAGTAGATGCTCTCAGAACCAGAATTGTTTTGTTATTGTTAGTCTGTCAAAATGATCCAGAGTCTCTATCCGAGTATCTCAATTTGCTTTAACTGTCTCAACTCCCTCTCTGAAAAAATATAGGTCATGTCTCCACCTTCTATTGTAAAGACAGGTGTAAAGAATTAATCCAGGTTTTCTCTAATCTTTGTATCTTCCTTTTCTTCTGTAATGGTCCAAAAACTATTCTGGCATTTTTTTCTGATTCAAATATATTTAAAGAAGCATGTCTTAATGTGTTTTGCCATATGTTAGTACAATAATTATCCTCCAGTGTTGTGTGGGGCTGATGTGGTTGTGGGGCTTCTATTCTCTGAGACAGAAGACAGCTATACCAGAGGTTCAACCATACTGGGGAGGTCTCACCAGAGGACCCAGACAAAGAGTGTTTCTCCCATAAACAATATGGTCACAAGTATTTTACAGAAATTCATACTAAATTGGTCATTGCCTGGGTCAACAAGGACCGCACTAAGTGCTGGAGTTCCTGGACATCTCATGATAAATGGGATATAGGACTGAGGATGGTTGGCTTAGCAACCAAGTACAGGATTAATGGAAGAAAAGATGTTTACCTATTGCAATTGTACAAAGATTGAAAACAAAGAAATAATGATCTATCATTACAAATCAAGTCCAATGAGAAGAGGATATCTTGGGGTCCAGAGTCCTAGGAACATATTTTAAGGAACGCTGCTTAGGCTACCTGGAGATGTGGTTTCCTTGTTTTGGAGAAATAAAATAAACTTAGTTTTGTTTTTAATTTCCATATCATCATGGTTTGAGGCATGATACATGTATGCACCTGGGCAATGTGCAGTTTTGGCATCAGTATAATTAGCTTATTATTAAGAACTAGCTGTACGCATTGCTGTGGCTCAGTCTGGTTAACTGGAAAAGAAAGAAAAGAGAAAGCGCACTTTTGTGTTGCTTTTACGTCCAACAGATGGCACTGTTTTTTAAAAAAGCATGTTTTTACCTGTCACAGGTATGACATCTATATAATATAGGTATATAGAAACACGCACGTATTCAAATGCAACGTTGTGTCAAAATTTCAAAGCAATCGGTGAAGAACTTTCGGAGATTTAAGATTTTGAACAAACGAACATTTACATTTTTATTTATATAAATATAGATATAGATATAGAAGATGCACAAAACATTCTATGTATGTACTATTTTTGTGCACAGAACAGTTGGTTTTGGCTGAATCAACACGTAAGTATTTTGAAAGCTTGGGATCACATATAGAACAAAATTATTGCATATGGTAAACAGTTTGGCAGAACTTCTTGAATGCAATGGCTTGTTCTAGATTCAAAACAAAATTTGTTTTCTACTTTACACCTGCTTACTAGTTGTGCAAGTTTTGTAATAGATTTCAGGACCAACTGAAAAACTGTCTTCTTACGTATTACCAAATACATAATACCATAATAAAAACCATTGATACTGAATGCTCTAAGTTTAAATCAAAGCAATTAAAGGACTTTTAAGTCCTATTAGCAACTTTTTAACTGATAGGTTGAAACGCTTCTTTTCTGTGGGTTCTTGCATAGCAAAGCTGTATCATCGTGGTAGACAGATGTTCTCCAGGAAGCAACAGTGACATACACATAGCAAATGAAGTCCTGTATTATGTTCCTTCCAATTTACGCCAGGTAGAGAACAACATGTGATATTTTTCTTTTCCAGTTTCAAATCTTTTCCATTTTTTCGCTTGTTCACCCGGGTTTGAGGAAGATCTGCCTGAATTTCTCTGCATTTTTTGTTTGGAAAGGCTTTGCAGTTTAGTCCCGCCCATCGTCACAGATGAAGTCAGAGCCTGGTCTGGGAGGAAGACGCCCGTCCTCTCCGCTTGGGTCCTCTCCCAGCAAAGAAAGCAGCGCTCCAGGTCTGAGCCGAGACGGAAGCACAGCCGCACGACGTTTTCGTAAACCTCGCGGTGCGTAGGCCGCTCTCTTCCTAGAGTGCCCGTCTGCCGGAGGCTGCTGGAGGCCGCCGGGAGTCGGCAGGTCGCGGCTCCGGCGGCAGACCAGCTCCCTCGGGGGGGGAGGCGCGCTTTGTACCGGGCGCCGGGAGGCAGAGAAAGAGCGCGCAGCGACGGGCCATGGGGAGCCTGAAGGAAGAGCTCCTGAAGCCCATCTGGCACGCTTTCACCGCCCTCGACTTGGACAGGAGCGGTAAAGTCTCCAAGTCGCAGCTTAAGGCAAGTCAAGGAGAGACGGGAGAGCGCCTCGAGCACTCAACCAGGCGAGGGCATGGGGCGGCGGGGGGCAGTTTCTGGGGAGCCCTCGAGGGGGGAAGTCCTTTGGCTGTCCCCGGCGGAGCCTTCCCTAGGCACTTCCCCCTTTTTTGGCGGACCCCTTTCCAGGCTGGGGTCAGAGCGGCAGGGAGGGGCGACAGAGAGTCAAGGGCTGGGGGCAGCACCGGCTCCACTGCTAAGCCCAGCTGGCCCCCCTAAACTTTTCTCCACCTGGAAAGCTTTTCCTTTTGCTTCTCACAGTGACTTTGGAAAAAAGTTCCCGTTTTGTCTTTTGCACTCAGAGCTAAAACAGTGTGTGTGTCTCTTAGGATGGGAGATGGAGTTGGTAGGGGCAGCTCTGATTCCTTCCAGGGTGAGATGGCTGTATTTGCAGAGAGGCTTCATTTTGGGTATACTTCTTACAGGACCTTACTTAAGAACCTTGTTCACATTAAGCCATTGATCAGACTTTATTAAATAGCAATAGCACTTAGACCTATATACCGCTTCACAGTGCTTTACAGCCCTCCAGTGTTTCTCAACCTTGACAATTTTAAGGCATGTGGACTTCAACTCCCAGAATTCCACAGCCAGCATTGCTGGCTGTGGAATTCTGGGAGTTGAAGTCCACATGCCTTAAAATTGTCAAGGTTGAGAAACACTGCAAGCGATTTACAGAGTCAGCCTTTTGCCCCCAACAATCCGGGTCCTCATTTTACTGACCTCGGAAGTATGGAAGGCTGAGTCAACCTTGAGCTGGTGAGGAAGACAAGTGTGTGGGTTCACACAACATGCTGACCATAAAGCATGTTTTGGAGTCCCAGAGGCTGGACTCAGACAACACTTGAAGCTAAAACCAAATAAACCATTAGTGAGTAATTAGTGAGTAGCATATTTGAACCCAGGCAGGATCTGGAGTTGATAACTCTTGATCATAGTAATCTTGGGCTCATTTTGGAGAATCCAGAAATCAAAGTATGTTCTTTCAAGGTGGGCTTTTGAGAGACCTATAGTAATAGTCCCCTCCCCAAGCCCACTGTTTTGTTTCTGTAGGTTGGGAGACTGAAAAAGCTTTTTTCTTCAGATGGCATTTTATTTTTTTCTGGGTCTAAATGAAATAATTCATTGGCACAGGGTCCAGTGATTTCAAATTATTAGCCCATCTTTATCAAGAACTTTAGAGGAAATATAAAAAGAGAAAATACTCCCCCCCCCTTGATATATGAATTAAGGATATTATGTAGTAATTCAGGTGCTCTTTTGTTTTAACTAATTTAAATCAATTATAAAAAATACAAGAAACTAGTGTGGCATTTATGTATATTTTCTATGTAGCATGACTCTTAGGGCCACTTGGCTATCAGCCATGCTGTACCTCAGGTAAACGTGATGATGTTGGCTAACTAATTTTGCTATGTGCTCATTTTGTAATTTAGGATGAGTTCATTGTCCATTTAATTATAGGCATGCTAGTGTTCTGTAAATGCTGAAATAGCTAAATGTGCATGTGGGGTGGGGGATTAATCTCAAACAGCTTACATGTCAAAATGTATGCATTATGCAGGTGCTTCAATGCAGATTGAAAGTTACATCCATGTACTCATTTTCTCAACATATTTGGTCTTGTGGATAGACTATTTAGAGACAGCGTTACACTATTAAGCAGTGATTTATCTTAGATGGTCAAATGAGACATAACTTGTAAAAGGACAACAAATTGTTAATGATTGATCTCATTGCATTTATCTAAGAGGAGAAGAATCTGGGCTAGAGTGCCTAATTTGCATGGAAAAAATAAGGTTCAGTCTTTCATAGTTCCACATAAAACTTGGAAATTCCCTTCTCTTGAAGAGCCAGTCAGCTAGACAAGACTGCTTTAGCAAGATTAATGCCATGATGTGGAGTAAAGTAACTTCTGCTGTTTTCTAAATTTTTGCAGCTTTGTGATGTGTTATTTGTCTACCTCAACCCTATCAAAATATTTTGGCTGTTTCTAAGGATATTCCCTAATGCACGTTGTTGTGAGTGTAGATATGTGAAAGTGAATCAAATAAGATAAAGATGGCCTTGGGTTGACTTCGGCTTCTTGGTGACACAACCACAGTGACATGGAAAATAATATGCAGTTTTCTTGGCAAAAGTACTGAAGTGATTTTGCCACTGCCGTTTTCTTCTTCTGGGATATTTTTCAACTTCCCAGTTCAACTTCTAGGTTTGATATTTATTTATTTTACATTTTATTCCACTTTTACTATTTTTATCAATAACTCTAGGTAGCGAACATATCTAATATTTCTACTTTCTTCTATTTTCCGCACAAGAACCACCCTGTGAGCTGCGTTAAGCTGAGAGAGAGAGTAACTGGTCCAAAGTCAACCAGCTGGTGAGACTAGAACTCACAATTTCCTGATTTCTAGCCTGATGCCTTAACCATTAGACCAAGCTGGCTCTCCCTGATTGTCACAATCCAAGTATTAACCAGACCATTTTAGCTTCTTAACCCAGACATCGTAGATGTGTTTAGACAAATGAAAGTGAATAATTGTTCTTATTCTAGAGTTATCTCTAATTGATATATTCTCGTTAATAAAATGTAGCTTGAATTTTGGGAACAGTTTAAGAAAATATAAAGCTGCCTTATATAAAAAATACCTTTTAGTCCTTGGGTAGAAAGTAAAGAATCTAGAGAGAGAATGAGCTTTTTTTGTTTTTTCCACACACTGATCCCTTTCTTAGTTGCCACTGGTTTATAGTAAAGTAAATTAAACTTAGTAGTTTTAAGAAAATGAATGGTGGAGGAAACCCATGTAGGTAATCCTCATCTTACAATCATAATGGAGCCTGGAATTTTCATCATAAGTCAAGATAGTTATAAGTTGAGGCAACCAGGTGACTGGACCCAGTTTTATTATTTGTTCTGTGGTGGTCATTAAGTGAACCAACATATTCCTATGAACGTTTTTTGCTGGAAACCAAACAGTGTTGTAAATTGTGGACATGTGACCATGGAATGCTACAACCGGACATAAAAAAGAGCTGGTTGTCAAGCGCCTGAAATGCAGTCCTATGACATGTGTGTCCATGTTGGAACTCTGGAACTTCAAAGAATCGCTAAGTGACTGGTTGTAAGTTGAGAACTACCTACATATGGCTTTTAAAAATGTACCCTATTCTTGAGGCACCCACTTTCTGTTTTACATATCCAGTTTTGACTTTGCTCTGATTGCATGAACATCCCCCAAAAAACTATAAAACCAACTTTATCCTAAAAGTGTTTTAGGTAAGGCTTTCCCACCACTTGTTATTAGGTACATTTAATTGTGAGGGATTGAACCCAGAACTGCTACAAAGTTCTAGCACTGAAGTGTGGTCCTTTCATTAGTATTTCAAATAATAGGACACAAAAAATTGTTTGACGTTTTGAAACAAAGACATAATTTTATGATTAGTTTGGGATGTGGACCTCCTCTGTTTAATTTTTTTTTAAGTGATTTAAGCACAGTGATATCTGGCACATACAACTATTGAGCGAAAAATTAAATTTGGCTTAGAAGACTGCCATTTTTGCTGTAGGAGTGTCCGTTCAAGTACTGACAAATTATAATTGCTCATCACTGTAGAACTTTTTGTTCTGTGAAAATGAAGAGCGTATAATGTTAGCTATTTCAGGCCGTGATTGGACTGCCAGGCACAGTTGGAATGAAGCCATTCTTAATATAAGAAATACCCTGTCGTTGTATTTCACATTTAATGCTGCAAAGCATAAAAATGTAGCATGTCCTACCCCCTTCCATTCAGTTGGTTGTTGCTCTTTCTGCTCCATTGGTCTACAACATTCAGACACCCGAATGAAAAAAACTAGCTTTTGTTTCAACTCCGTGTGGAGCTTGCCAAAGGGAGATATTCTGTACTGGAGATGAAATAGGACAAGTAGTCAAGAGCTCCATTCTTGTTATATACTCTTTGGAGCATTCACCACGACACTCTTGCACAGTTTGTAGATCTTTGATCTGCAAATCTGGGTGTATTCCAGCAGGCTCCCTTGGCCCTCATTTCCTCTGGGTAAGCCAACACTAAAAATGTTTGAATAGGCTTTTACACCTGTGGAATGCCTCGGATAGTAGATCATTGTAACATCGCTAGTTTGGCTGGAATCTGTGCTGGCAACTGTGAATTCTGTTAATAATTCATGGCAGTCTTAAGAGGCAGGACTGAATGAAACCTCAGAATTCCTTACTGTATTTATATGTGTTCTGAAAGTTGTCTGTGGAATTTTTATAAACATTGCTTGGAATCTTACACAGTTCTTCAAAAGTGTTTTATCTTTTTACTTAAATTGAGACTATGGGTAGTAATTCTAAATTAAAAGCTAGATAAAGTATGAGTGTCATGGTTCCAACTGTAACAATTGCCCAATTACAAAGTTTAATATCCCACCCACAAAACTATGCAATCAACTATGTTCCCCAATATACTCATTTGGCGGGCTTTTTTATGCAACGCCTAGTCGCGGGAGCAGTAGATGGCCTTGGTTCCCATGGGACAGAAGATTATTTTGACTAACAAAGCACCTGGGCAAGCCTCCTCCCTCTGTTCCATGTGGCAACCTCAAATGAGGGGAAAAAATGGCTGCAACCAGGCTCATTTGCAGAGTTGACAGTCGCCCCCTCCCTCAAAAAGAAAGAACCTCCTACAGAGGAAACAAAAAAGCATGTTAGGCATCCCCTCAAGGCTTTGGAGGATTCTTGTCATAAAACTTCTGTATCAACTGTTCAGCTTTCACATCCTTACTTTTTACCCACGTAGCTTCGGATAGTGGATAACCTTTCCACTGCACAAGGTATTGCAACTTCCCCTTATACAATCTAGACTGAGTCAAGTATCAATTTTATTTCATAATGTGTCTCTCCCTCCACCACAATGGGACCCGGCGGTTTCCGAGGAACAGGTCTTAAAGCAGACTC